TTTTTCTGGGGAGAACCCTGATGTTATTCCCTTGAAACTTTTTTCAGAGTCAGTTTGAATTGTGAAATTCATAATAATTTTATATACACGAAAAAAATAGGTTTATTGTATCAAGAGTTCTACCGATGCAACAAAGTCATTCACTTCATTTCAGTAGATGTTTATAAATTTCACAACTGAACGAAAGATTCTACTGGCCTATGGATTAACATTGGAACACTTTTAAATGACATCATAGCACATTGTGCTCGTTGATTGGCTGGTTTGGATTAAACTGCCATTGAAAATTATAAATATTTATAATAGAAATGTTTTTTTTTTATGTCAATCAAAAATAGTATGTTAGTGTGTTTCTTTTGTTTTGACAGTTATATTTTAATTAACACCTCCACAGTTATTTGTTAATTTCCATTATAAACAATTTTATTGCATAAACAGCATACATGGTATAGCAAGAATGAAATAACAGTAAAAACATTTGGCTGCTGGAAAAAATTAAAAAAATATTCTGTGAGTTTTTCAATTCATAAGGAATAATTTGTTATCTAATTTGGAGATACTTATAAACTTAAGCTGTGGAAACAAATACGAAAACAATTTGTTCACATTCTAAAAGAAAATTCACTTAGATTTTAAATAATTGAAATATATTTTATGCGTTTGATTTTAATAACTTGTATGATTTAATAAGATAACCTGTACTTGTGGAACTTTAATAATTATCTGTCTCGTTACATTGTATCTAATTTATACCCAATGTTGTAAGAAATACAGTTTCCCGCTCATGACAGGACTCGCTAACTCGTTCACAATGAAAGACATTTACTTGAAACTGAAAAAAAAAAGCAATAAACAACACACAAAGCCAACAATACAATTCTTTCTAGCGACTAGTCGTAGTTGTAGAAGAGGTGAAAGCATGCCGGCGAAATGGGAAAGGTCGAAAAGATCATCGAAGACCTACAATGTGCCTTTCTCGCACACAATCATGCAGCTTTAGATATTTACTTTTGTACTTTGTAGGTGGTTCGTAAATATTTCCAGCTACGCGGTGTTTACACCGCAATCTATTTGCGTGTAGTGTTTTGCGAGTATTCTATTACTCGCTGTTTTCTTCACTACCCAAAACATACCGACAGTCAAATACCGGCCTCCCTTTCTCTCCCTGTTGTCAGTGCTGTACAAGTTATGCTTTGTGTTTACAGTTGTAAAGTGGTGAACCGAAAAGCATTATCGGACAAAATCGCGATCTAGTAGTATTACGAGAGAAGGAAATTTCACTGTTTACATTGTGTGGTATATTCACATGTGCGGCGAAATGCCGCGATTTTTGCCGACCGCGAGTGTGTAGCTGTTCACTGTTTACAAACATGCGACTCCGACCCCGAACTTTACACACCCCTATGTACACTGTGAGAAGGCGTTCTGAATGAGTCGACCAATATGCGGTATTGATAAAACAGCTTAGAATACTTAATACTTTCCCTTACCTCGATTTCCGTCACACAAAAAACAGGTCAGGTCTTCGTTTCGCGTTCACATATGTTGCATCATCAATGGGTTGTTGGTGTATGGCGCGAAAAATATCAGAATTTGACTGCAGTCTCTTCGACGAAAGTCATTCGTCGATAGCGACCTCATTTGCATGAAATACGAGCGCGTTATGTTAATTTTGTTTCTTTCATGCGCTGTTTTCCCGCCACCGCATAGCTTGAATGTCAGGACATGGAGCTCTTTTTTTAGCCCCATGGTCAGGGCCAACTACCGACGGGATAGAGAAAGTGATAATACAAGAAAGAAATTTCCCAGATAACCCCCTTCGTGTATTTACGGTAAATGACGATTTTATCTTTGGCTTACTATTTATACCTCAAAGTGGGAATGCCGAACGAAAGTAATTGAGGGCGCAACATGGGCGGAGCTATAAAAGCTGAATAAGCAGGATACATGATGGAGGTACCGTTAATACCTTCCATGGCTGCGATTATAAAACGCTGTATAAACTAAATGACTAATACGTTTACAAACACCTTTCTGCGTGAGCCTTATCCTATTTTTAAAACTCCCTAATTAACCTGTATTTTCTGTATCATAAATGTTAGTTTCGTAAAAATACTCCTATTATTAAGTGCGTATTTAAAAAATAAAAATGCTGGTCGATAAACGCATAAATCTATCTCGATATATACAAGAGCATTTATTCAGCCTCATTTATTTAAAAAAAACGACTGAACGTGATTAAAACTATTTTCCAGGTCAATTAAACCGAAAGAATGATGCAATAATTAAAGATTCGGCGTGCCCGGAACTGGCGTGTCATATTTCTATGCATTAATAACGTGTGCAGTTCTAGCCATACATTTACGACAACGTGTTCAAAGATTGAGGTCACATTCGGCAGCTGTTGTTATATGTAAGATCAGGACTGTATATATACATAGTTCTGCCTCGCTGCATTTCCCGCGTTTTTTTGTCAATAACCTGAATTGTGCTAATCATACTTACTTAGTACCAGTACCTGGCGACCCACGACAAAGGCAGAAACAACTCTGTGACATACTTGTAATGATATTTCACTTATTGAACTTAACATACTTTAATATACTGCACAAATGACAAAAATTCGATATGCGTTACTTTGCGGGTACGGTGATCTATTTATTCAGCGTCCCTCGATTATAAGATTTTCCATTCATAACTGTCATCACCGAAACTGAGATACAACGCGCCCACTTCGACCCACTTGCGAAAGTAATTTGACAAAATCTAAAACCGTAATTTTATCAAACAAACATAACAAATCCGAAAATATAATTTGTAAATAATGTTTTTGATGAAATGATGTCACAGTCATTCCCGTGGTCATTCATTTTATTGCATTATCACAGTGCAAACGTGGACATACTATACACACGCTCATGTTTGGCAAGGCGATCGATCCAATTACCTGTAAGTACGGTAACAAAACTTTTTAGCAACCATGCTGCGAGGGACTAGTATATGTTTCCTCATGGGAGGGGTTAGTAAACGCGGGCAATGAATGGTAGTAGTGTTGGGTATCGTAGATGATATGTCATTGATGTATCGCTACTACCTATATATAGTACGTTAAGTACGTGTGCCATACGGTATGCCATCAAGTATTCTGATATTCATTGCTCAGTACTAAATTTTACGATCAAGGCTTTTATTAGTGACATGTTACTACCATCCATGTTTACTCAGACTGGCTCTCCTTGGTCTCATACTAGATGCGGTTTCACGATGTTCAGTTAGAGGGGCGGCCGCCTTTATAATGACGTCATTGCCAAATTGCACTTTTGGGTATATGTGCACGAGTAATCACTGGTTTAGAGGGGCGAGCGTCCCTTCCAAATTCACCACTGTATACGTATTGCCGACTAGTGTTCCCTCTCATGAAGAGAACCGATTTTGTAGGGATTCTGAGGCAACACGGAATTTCAAAAGTCAAGTTGAGTCAGTTTGTTGACTGCTGAAGAGGACGGTTTTTAAGACAAAAAATAAAATTGTATGGGTGCCTCAAGTAACAAAACAAGCATTTTGTGGCCCCTGATTCTTTCATTTTTAC